ACGCTTCGTTTAACTAATTTTTTGTGCTGTGTTTAACCGTAATTAAAACCTCGTTTTCTACAAAACATTACTCCGACCGTAAACATAAATCATAAATCAACAATACGGAATAAGGAGTTTTAGATTAAATCTAGGTTTGTCAAGCATCTTAACGGTACTGTATTATATTATACTTTATAGAAATAAAGTATAATAGATTTTCGCAGATTTTTAAATGTTTGCAGCATAATAAAATACTTTTTTTTATACTTATTACAACTTTTGTAATTCTTAATACAACGATTTATTAATTTATTATTAAGTTTTGTTAAACATACATTTAGTATGTTTTTTATATTTGACATAGATACCTTTTAAAATGTTCAGATAAAAATATCATTAAAATGTAATTGTGATAAAATGTTATGTAATATTATATTAAATAAGCAAATATAATATACAAAACAAATGACGAAACTTAAATATCGTTCTCGATATAATTTACCTATTTAACAATACAATCTCCTTATTACCTACGGATCATTCTACCTATGTTTATTCTATGATTAAAAAACAACCGCGCGAACACAGAATAGCGCTCATTTTTTGTTTGAAATAGCTGTTCTAGTACGTAAGTACATATTCAATGCATTTCCGCGACAACTACACATCGGCCAAAATCTATTTTAAGGATATAGTAATTTAATTTTATTTCATGTTAATCGGAGTAAATATGCTTTTTTTCATCGTTCAGGAAATTATATTCAATTTTCTCATCAAAAGGTAACTTTAATTGTACCGCAATATAAAAATAATGGAAAAGTTAACAATAAGACGAAATGTCGAGTCGTTCTTAATTACTCTTACATTTGCTAACCTTAGCGAGTCCGTTTTTGCGGACACCATAATCACTCTAAAAGAACCACTGAATTAAAAATATTTATGAAAATTAATAAGTTTTTTTAAAAAAATTACTTGGTATTCAAAAAAATAATTAAACGTTATTCTTTATCATCTTAAATCATACATTTAAACCCTAACATTTATTGGCTGAATCTGTAAGTAAAAAATAATATAAGAAACTGTATCTTGTAGGTAAGAATATCTTTGGATAATTTGAAATGTATTTTAATGCCTTACATGTTATTATTACTGATAAAAGTTAAAAGTATCACATGTCTAGTAAAGGTTTGGTTTACAACTATAAAATTATAATCATTTTTGTTACCCACACTCTACCATTCCGTGACATTATTGTTATGATCTACATTTATATTTTTTTTTATTTTGATCTAAATTAGTGACAAATTCGTCATCATCTAAGGTTGCCATCTATAAAATAAATTAATTAAATTCATGCCGTATTATCAATAACTTTGGACACACAAAATTTAACATAATTTTGTTTCGCTTACTAATGATAAAACAAAGACCGTGTTCTATACCGCGTCGTCCTTGGCTCAAGGATGTTCGTCCTACGTTCAACAGTGGACTTGTGTTGAGCTGTAATGAAGTTTGTACCTATAGACAATCATTCATTTTCGCTTACCTATACAAAATATCGCTTAAAACAATATTTTATAACTAAAAAACAACCATTGTGACCAAGACGCCTACATTTATTCTCGATTAAGAGTCGAAACGCAAATGTATTGTTGACCCTGAAGTCGAAGATGGAATCTCGTTACCAGTAAAAAAGGTCTCCGTTTCTCTTTACTCGCCATACAAATCACACCAGCATCATTGTGCTATTTCACACTTGTACTCTATGCGAGTATGCAAAGGCAGTCGTAGTGCAACTATATTCACTGAAGTGTGACTCTACCACATCTAAACCTTGTACAAGTGGCTCTGACTTCATTCTATGAGCATTATATATGACTGCCTCGTTGGTCTAGTGGTTGTAGCAGTGCGATTGCTGATCATGAGGTCCTGGGTTCGAATCCCGGGTCGGGCCAAAAAATCGATTATTGAGTTTTTCGTCAAGAAATTCTCAGTAACTGTCCGGAGTCAGGAACTTGGCGGTGTCTCACCCCCGTGCCTCGGAAAGCACATAAAGCCGTTGGTCGCGCTTGATCTCTTTTCAGTCCCATCGGATTATGAGAGTGAAGGAGTAGAGAGGTGGCCAGTGCAGGCACAGGCTTTCGCATACAGTTGGGCACTATAATCCTATCCTGCGCCGATGGCTAGTCTCGGTTGAGGCAGTCGTGACCGAAATTCGGTCTGGAGGACGTTATTATGAACATTACTTCTGTCTCGATGAAGTTAGAGCGAGTAAACGCCTATATGCTAAGTCAGCAAGCTATATAATGGCGCCTGTAGATTTGACAGTATAGATTATTTTAAAACAATACTTACTTGAGAGGATCAGATCAACAAAGATAGATGGAGCGCTACGCATATTTCAAGAGATACCGAAATTATTCTTCTTTATTTCTTTAATAGCCCGTGAAACTTCACTTTGGGACGCATTTTGCATCTAAGCAATATTGTTGATTGTAAATGATTTTAGATGCATATGTTGTGTACGTGAGTGCGTGTTATTACAATAAATTGAGTGGGTTTTGGCTTGCTTGTGTTGAGTTGTGATAATTTGTAGAGAGGTAAGCACGCTGCAGGTATATTATGGTTGTAGAACGAATGGATCGGCTCGACCGGGGAAGGATCACGCTCTCACGGAATACCAGCGTAAAAAAACAGTTCAATACTGCTGTGTTTCGTATGGTGAGTGTAGAGATCCGGAGACCCTTTATACTGGTAACGGGGCATTCCATCTTAGTCCTCAGATCGTGAAACGATCGATTCTTAATCGAGTATACATGTAGATGTCTATGGGCCACAGCATCCACTTACCATCAGGTCGACTGTGTGCTCGTTTGTCACCCTCATTCTATAAAAAAAAGTTGTCACCTATCCAAACAATCATATCTAAATAGTATAAAACAAAGTAGGTATTTCTGTCTGTCTGGTCCAGTTTTTAAGGTTTGCATTAGACTGACATGATTTAACAATCAAATAAATTTCTTCCGGAAGGTTTACTTATAAAATACATGCATATCATAATAAACTATGGTAGACAAAAATCGATACCTCTAATCACGTCGTCAAAAGACGATTTATGGCAGAGATAGTTTGATTACAGAACTGCACGTTTTAGACCTAAACCAAACGAAAAAACGCAAAACGCGCTAAACCCGATTAGATATTCAACTTCGATAACAATGATAACGGTCGGATGTTGAAGTGCCATAAAATGATATACAACGAAGAAATTTTTTTCTCTTCAACCATTATAGAGTTAAAATGAGCTTAATACTTATATTTTTGCAGTTGGTATTTTAAATGTAAGTACAATTTTATTTATAATAGCAGGGCTGACAAACAAGCACAACATACAGCTTGATGCTAAGTGGATGCGTGAATGCAGTGGCCCATAGCCAAACTGCAGTCATAATATGAGCCATATTTTTACCACCATTAATAATAATACTAATTGTTTTTTATAAAATTGAAGTGATAGAACGAACTTACAGACAACCCGATACTAAGTGACTACTGTTATCTACGGACATCTGCAGCCAACTTCACACAAAGAAGGTCACTGCATTCACGCATTCTGCGTTGTCATCTCTGAGGATTTTCATAGAATGCCTAACAGCCTTTATATATACTGTGCTTTCTATACGCTTTCTGAGGGTGTGTAAGAGGGTGATACCTACACAGACTCTTAGGTAAAAAAGTAATCCTACTGCCTGTATCTTTAAAATAACGATTTAATAATTTAAAAAAAAATCTATATAGGTAAACTATTTATTAAAATAAAAAGGTTAACCTACTTCCAGTATAAAACGAACAGCAAAGTAAAACTGTACTTTCGTTTAATACGAAAGTGCCTGTCAATTTAAATATGCGCAAACTTTCTACCGCATACATTAAATAGTCGTTTAAAGTCTAAAAGTTCATGTTATGTTGTATAAGGACGTAAGTCAACGTGTAGTATGTAATTCTTACAATTTATTTTACCATCCTCCAGAATATCACATCCGCTGTCTATCATATTATAGACACGTATTTAAGAAGTTTTTCGGATGTATTATTCTAAATATAGAAAACTTTATGTACCTACCTATACCAAACAAAAATATTTCAGACACATGTTTATAATAAATAGCCACAAAATATTTTTGAATAATGAATCAACTTACATTGTTATTATTTCTTTCATATAAATATTCAATTACGTTGAGAAAAGGCAAAATTTAATAACACATGCCAAAAAGGTAAAATTGTATAGCTTCGAGTTACATTTTTAATACAAAATTAAACAAAGGTAACAAATATGATGAAATATTCTTTCATGTAAGTATGTCTTTTATTTTAGCCTTTTCTTTGAAATAGAGACATTAATAATATAATTTTATGTATGCACTAAACATGCATTAAAGACTAATACAAATTATCGAATCAATGTATAAAAATATGTTTTATTTGTCGCTTTTTACATAGACAAAACTTTATTTTTTTATTATGATAAGTACCAAACCATAATGATAAGAGTTTTGTGTGAAAAAAGTAAGCGTAAAGCGTGGCGTATTGCAATGTTTTTATTAGGTCAAGTCATGATAAAGCATTAAATCCATAAGCTAAATTAAAGAAGAGTAGCATTATTTTTATTCAAATTAATGATTTTTAAGAATCTATGCTAATTGCTCATATTGCCGCATAATGGCGACAGTGATTTAGGTCAAATTTAATAATTAATCAAAGATGTATAATATGCAGTGCAGTGCATATCAGCACTTTAATTAGAGCATTCCACACTAGCAATAATTTTATAATTTGTGTTTTATATTTAATTGTTCGCGTTATCAAATATTAAAACAGTTAATGTATTTACTCAAACTTACGAAACATTAAAAAATTATAATTGATTGGCATTATTAGAGCCGTTATATTTAATGGCTGCTAAGTGATACTGATAAATAACAGTTTAAAGTGAATAATACCAATTCACCACTTACTTGTAAAATTTCATAAAACATAAAGTTGTTATGTATATATGGTTTTTCCACAGTCACTGTATTTTGCCAGTTCACTTGCACTTAATTACTTTCAAGTAATTAATCATAATGATACTACAATAATTAATAAATCAGAACTTATTTATATTAAAAACTATCAATTACAACAATAATCAAGTATTCTCGATTCGTGGCAGAAATTAGTAGACATCAGAGCTGACTGATTTTCTTCTTAAGACAAGGATTTGGTTTTTATTTTTCCCATTAAAGTCAACAGTCGATGGAATTAAACCGGATCGCGGTTTTTTGCCGTTTTATTTAATTCACATTTGCTTTGTTTTTTGCTAAAAGCGTACAGAACACGTTCGCCACGGAGGTCGCGGATGATTTGAATGCGATTTAGATTTGAACAGTTTTAAGTAATTTTGTTATTGTTTTGCGGACACCACCACTTCGGAAACATTTTTTTAATATTTCAATAAAGGCGCGCGCGCGACTCTACAGTGCGAATCACTCTGATTGGACAACGAAAGAACGTAACGGCCACTTCGCAGTAAACTACACGCGATTTGGCGGGAGATCCGCACTTTTACTGTGCGACTTATTTAACATATATTGCGATAACAATTACATATAACTATTAAAATGTTACCAGAACACATTCAATGCAATTTACAATATTGCGTCCGCCTCGAAATCGCCAATTCCAATAATCGAGTTCGATAGGAAGCGTTTCCTACCTTTATATATCCTTGAATACAAGGACTAGAATTTTTGTTCTTCAATTGATATGAACAACTGGAGTGTATAAATCAATGAGAGCGGAGGTCAATTAAAACCACAGTCTCTTTAATAAATGAACACTTGCTGATTGCGGGACTCGCAATTAAAAACTATTTAATAAAAAGTAGAATGTTATAAAACAAAAATAATTACCAATGCGTATATATAGTTTGATTTTATTAATAGTCGAATACACGAATAGCCCTTCGCTTCCCGTGACGTCAATAGTGCCGAAGCCAAAATGCTCCAACAGACAGATTACACAAATGGGACACCTCTTTACGTACGCTCGGAACGGTGTCGTACAATGTTTTAAAATACAATGACAAATCTTAGCGTATTTATAACATTAAACCATTAGGTGGAATCGCCATCAACAATCTATTGTTAAAGATAAAATTTATATCGGACACGAAAACAATTAAAAATGACACACCGCCAATTATTTTAGTCTTATTTTTACTTATCTTCTGTTTGTTTGTTTGTTTTTGCATTATTTTAAAAACCAAGTTTTAAGTAACTAAAACATGTTGAAAAATATTTTATTCATTTTATAACCGTAACTTCACTGCTGCACTTTGTATTAGATGAATAACCGTAAATTTCACTCTTGTCCGAATTTCCGTGTTTGCAACACGGTCTCGTAAGTCCTGCAACTCGACGCTGCTACCGGTCTGGTACCTTATGCAGGCATATACCAAACGATTTGGTTGTACCACGGACACTACGAACGAAATCGGATGATGGTTTCTCTTACACTACCATCACACACCACTTATTGACCTTGTAGTGTTTTTTTTTTCTTGCACGTTTGAGAATTTTTTCCATTATCTCTATGTTACATTATTAATATTACTAATATGATTCTTTGTACCTAGTTTAAGAGCCGCAGAGTGACATAGACTACTTTTATCCGGAAATATGCACAGTTCCAGTGGAAGAAATCTGGTGAGATAATATTTATGGTGTCTTAGGTCTCGGAATAACACATTAGCTGTGATTTTTCGAGATGATGTCATTTCGGCTAGTTTGAACTAAAATCACAAATAAAGCTTCAGTAAGCACGAAATTCTAGCTAAAATATAAAAGTACAGTGAGAAACATAATATAAAGTCATAAATTTACAACGTGCCAACGGGGTTATCTGCTCTGCTCAATCGGGCCTCATTGCCGGGATCCCGTTAGATGCATTGGTCGTGGGAGCCATAGTATGAAACACCATTGTTTGGAATAAACCACAATGCCCACGCGTTTAAGAAGGAAGCAGGCAAAAAAACTGATCTTAATTTGCTTATATTGTATATTTAAAAAAATTACATAGCCAAAGTGTGCCAAGTAACATATATTTTTTTTTAATCACAAAAATAGGAAAATAAATACAGTAAGAGTGTTTTATGGTAAAATTGAGCAAAATATGAAAATAAATAATATATTCAATGGAAAGGTCACGGGTGACAACGCATCTGCATTTTGAATTGTAATCCAGGATAGATGTAGATGTCTATGGGCCACAGCAACCACTTACCATCAGATGGACTGTGTGCTCGTATGCTACCCTATCCAATAACAAAAAACGAGTGACAGCATGCAAATACAGATTCTACACATCTTTAATGATAGAATGAGATTCAAGTGATACAAAATACTTACAGTTGTAAGCTAGAGTTTTCATATTCTGATTAAGAACCCTAAGGTTACTTAGATCCCATAATACAGACTTTATACAGCTTGAGATTGGTCAATTGCTCTAGGCCACTGCTGCTTCACGACAACGCAAGACCACACACTATTAATGCTTGACTAAGGTAGGTAATATAATATATTGGGTCCTTACATATGAAATTAGCGTTTTGTCGTACTGACCACTTTGATCTGAAATATCTCTTTTGTGGTTAAGAATTCCAAATTATAATTTATAAATTCATTTAGCTGGTACATTCGAGTTTTGAAAACAGTCATCCATTTGTTTTTTCCTCATAATTTTTTTCTTTGACGTCGCGTATTACCGCAAAATGGAAAACATGAAATATCGGTATATTTACGAGTACGAGTACGAGTTCTACCGTGGCACCAGTGCTGCAGAAACAGCTCGAAGGATTAATAATGTGTACGGCGCTGGTGTCGCAAAAGAAAGCACGGTACGTTTTTGGTTTCAACATTTTCGTTCTGGAAATTTCGACCTTCAGAACCAACCCCGTGGACGGCAGGAGACCAAAGAGGAAAATGAAGAATTAAAGGCTATATGTGGAAGCGGTTCCATCACAAAGCACTTCAGAGATAGCAGCAGGCTTCGCGGTAAGTGATAAAACTGTATTAATCCACTTGAAGCAAATCGGGAAAGTAAAACAACTTGAACGATGGGTACCTCTTGAATTGAGTGAATCGAACTTGCAAACACACATCGACTGCTGTGTTACTTTGCTCAACCGACACAAAAATGAAGGGATTTTGAATCGAATCATTACTTGTGATGAACAATGGATACTCTACGATAATCGGAAGCGCTCGTCGCAATGCCTGAACCCTGTAGACCCAGCCAAATCCTGCCCTTAACGAAAATTGACTCAGAAAAGTTACTTGTGAATGTTTGGTGGACTAGCGCCGGTGTCGTTCACTACAGCTTTCTAAAATCTGGCCAAACGATTACAGCAGATATCTATTGTCAGCAACTGCAAACCATGAAGGAAGTACTAGCTGCTAAACAACCGAGATTGGTCAATCGGCTCTAGGCCACTGCTGCTTCACGACAACGCAAGACCACACACTGCACAACAAACAACCACTAAGTTAGATGAGCTGCAATTGGAATGTCTGCGACATCCACCGTACTGTACAGATTACCATTTTTTCCAGAATTTAGATAACTTCTTACAAGGAAAAAAATTCAATTGGAGTTTATTGATTCTCGCATGGTTTTTTTTTAGTAAAGGGATCAATGAACTGCCTATGAGATGGCAAAAGTGCATAGATAACAACGGTGCATACTTTGACTAATTAAATATTTTTTATTAAAAAAATTTACTTTACATTCCTCCCATACAAAACGTCAATTTCATATGTAAGGACCTATTTATTATATGTACTGGATAACCTTTTTTAACGTTTGAAAAAAATATGGTGTAACTTGTGAACGGAGTAGAAACCTATAGCAGTGACATTTTACAAAAAATAAAAACTAAAATTTTGAATTAAATTGATTAATTATTTAAAATCTATCGAAATTGAAATCATATCCATCATATATAAATTTAGTAGGCTTCTTTTATCCAGTCAATTCGCAGGGTCACAGGCTTAAGGACAAAGGGCAGAGTAATTGTTAAAAAAAAATGTTTTTGTTTTTTGTAAAATATCAGTTCCATAGATTTCTACTCCGTTCACATGTTACACCCTATTTTTTACAGACGGTAAAAAAGGTCATCCAGTACATTTATGTTAAGGCATCGTGGAGAATACTTCTCATTCTCCAAGCTAAAATCATATCCTATCATATCAAAGCTACCATAGTTCCTGTGAAAGTACCTGGCTCATGTCACTCAGGTAGGTGACCTGAGTGACAGCCAGGTACTTTCTATATTCAGTAACTGCATAGTCATACGTTTTGAGCCAGTTAATTATTTTACTTTTGATTTAATGGTTTGTTGCTGTTTATTTTACTAATAAACTTTAATAAATTTACTGTACAGTAATGACGCCACTTACTAATAGTGTCTTTTGGGTGCACTAGGTACTCTTTATTATGTCTATTAAATGTTTTACTATCAAGTTGAATTAGGTGCAGAGTACCTATAGAACCACCTATCCCTGTGCTTTTTTATACCGTAATTTTGTGGGACGTTCATATGTTTGCACTGCTTGGGGGGTTTAATAGGGGGGGGGTGGGTGGGTTTTTTTGGGGGGGGAAATAAATAACTCCCCTTTTTTTTGTTTTGTTTAAAAAAAAATAAAATTTTTTTTTGGGGGTAAAATTATTAATTTTTTATTTTTTTTTTGATTTTGGTATTTCTTTTTTTACTCCTTTTTTTTACGTCACGGGGGACTGAGGTGACTGCCGTCCCGATGTCAGCTTTTTAATTATTGTTTTTGGTCTAATCTACGCAGAATGAACTTACTGTTTTGAACATAGATAAATAAATATTCAGCAAGCTACAGATACGACAGTGACTTTTAGTCAAGTTTCCTAACTAAGCATGCAGTCGCCCATTTTGACAGATGAGTAATGACTATACAATTTAGTATAGCTATGTATAGCTTAGGGATGGCAAGCACACATCCTTCAAATTATCGATATCGATGTTTAGTGGTGTTCTTATTTTATCGATATCGACATAAGTGCACTATACAGGCATAATAATATTACTTAATGAAACAATTATAATACATCTACCTTATTTATTTTTTATTCAAGCACGCCAACATCATATACATACAAACGTAATCTCAGGATTAAATTAAAGGCACATTAAGTTATATAAACAAATTAGAAAATTGTACATAACATTTTACATAAATAAGTACAATTTGACGAGAAACAGAGCAATATTTATAGTTCATTAAATAAAGCGAATTAAACCACAGGAATCATTTTTGAAGTGCTTAATATTTTACTATTCAAGTTATTTTTTATTAGAAGCAATGCTATTTATTTTTCGTCTAGGGTAAACCTGGCCATTCTTTTACAAAAATTAAAAAAAATCTTCTCTTCTTTAATTTCATTTTCTACACCACGTAACCTGAAAACAAAAAAAATACGTGTGGCACTCGGTGACTGCCGCGGTAAAGCTATTGCATAGCATTTTTTATCAACTTATGCAATTATAATTATTTATTTATTTTATTTATGCAGTTAATCTTTGATATTAAATCAAGTTACACTTTTTGAGCGTGGTGACCGATAAGAAAACAATTTTTTTTTCTCTTATTGAATAAATGAGAAGTTATTATTGTTTAAAATATTTTTAATATCATACAATACATGTAGGTTTTTCAGGAATTTTTATCATTGAGTTACCAACTAGTGTACACGCATACTTCTAGCCGCACGCACACAAACACCGTGCCGAAGTCTGCCGAGTGCCGAAGTCTGCCGAACTGAAACGACGTTAGACGATGCACGGCTTTCAACGCCACACCTCCGTGGCCGTCGGAGTGGGGAGCGTGAGGTTTTTTTCATTACGGAATTTCTGGATTCGGTCCCCGCGCTCAAGGCCCGCGATAGAAGCTATGCAATAGCTTAATAAATAAAAATCAATATTCATATTTAATGACTTAATGATAATCATAAATCATATATTATTTATATTAAGGTAACAAAGGGTGGCTTCATGGCAGTTGGCAATTTTTATCGGTCAACCCATGGTGTGGTGAAAATAAAGTGGTAGATGCAGTAAATAATAAATAAAAAACATATAAATATTAACATTGTATACATCCATTATCAGGAGCTTTCTCAATGTCTTCAGGCACGGAGTTCCAAATAAGTGTAACCTTAATACTAAAGGAGTTGTTGATGAAACCATTGAAGTGTAGTGGAACTGTAATCTTTAGATTAGATGAAGAACAAAGAACTCCTATCGTGATTTGAGGATAGATATTCTGAATATAGATATAATAGATATGTTGAAACTTACCTAATTATGTCTAAGAATAAACTGAATTTATCATACCTTTTTGCCAATGTGTACATTTTGTATCTTCTGGCAACATTTGTCTCACCACATCAGCATTAGATTTCTATTCCTGAAAACCAACAATATTTGTGAATTTTATGTTCTTATACCCAAAATTAAAGAATAAATATATAATGTATACTTCTGTATTGTATGTATTAATGCTGTATAGCTACTGTTAACGACAGTTTAGTATAATCGTTATTAAAAAGTGTACTAAGTTATATGGCAATTATACGTGGTAGAGCCATGCTGCAGGTATATTACTGGTATAAACAATTTTATTTAGAATTTTAATACAGCTAGTTGTGTAATTTAATTCCCTTTATAATATTGATTAATTATGATCAATATAGTGTCATCATACTTTAAATTAATGCCAAATGTAACACTTAACTCACAATAAATATATTGAAGTTATTTAAGAATATTTTGACTTTAAGCTTTAGTAATTAAACTATTAATAGCTTAAGTACCTACATCTTAAAGCTAGACTAATATTATTTCATGAAGATTGCTATATAGCTAGTTTTGTTGTTAAATACAAGTACTTACTATAACTAAGATTAAACCAAAAATATACTAAATATACCTTTTAATATCAATCCTACATAATAAGTTTTAATAGGTATAAAAAGGTAATTATAATTATCTCAACCTTTGAGTATTAAACCAAAGGAGACGGCATCGCAAGGCATAGCCCTTTGTAAAAGGTACGAGAGTCCGACTCATACTCGTTATATAAAACTAGTTGCCCCGCGTCGTGCGTCATTCCGAAGTGATCGTGCCAATAAATCGAGCTCCTACAAAATGCCGAATCGCAGTGTATTTACATGAAAAAAACAATCAAAAACGTCAAGTATACAAAAGGACAATGTGGCTTTTCATCTGTGAGTATTTTTAACATAACATTAAAGTAATTTTATCATTAAAACTCGTACTTTGTGAATATTATTGTCCAATACCGAGTGTGGTCATCATAGTTCATAAAGTGAAAAATAATCTATTTTTAAATAAATATAATTTACTACACAAGTTACATATATAAACGAAAATATATTTCCTAATAACTAAATCAGTTTGTGATGAATAATAATCATTACATATAGATGTGTAGTGGTTTTGTTAAATGATTTATATATTCAGCTCAATTTTAACACGATACTGAATATTATATAATTAAATATAATCGATAACTTGTATTTATTAAAATATTATACAAAATACAGGCCAAATAAGACAAATCGAAACTTGCTACCTCGCAGCAAAAGCGCGCAATTTTTATAAAAATAAACTGGTATCACTGCAACCGAAAGTGTTCCACTATAGTGATGAACGCCGCAACTTTAGCTATCGATAAGTTAATTAACCATGCGGGTTTGTCTGCCGAACCGGTTTGTAGTTTTTATTTAGAGTTTATAATAAATTATTACAAAAAGTTGTAAATTTTTCTATTTTTTTTTAATTTAATAGGATCAACAAACAGTTTACACAATATTTAATAATCTAAAATACATTCACTACAACAAATATAATATCGACGGGTGCAAAGTAAAAAAAGTTAACTGCAATTTTGAGATTTTTGGTTTTTTGTAAAAACTAACTTAAAATATCATGTTCTACAACATAGCAAATACAAAAATATAAATATCACCTTATTTTTGGTACTTTTGTCACGTAAAAGAAGACAACTACGCCTGTTTTGTGAAATTACACGATGTAGATGCGGACAACTACCGCTGACCGTTTATACGCGGGACGCGCGGGGGGCCAGCGGTCAGTCACATTGCGTCATCAGTCAGATGACATGTGCTTCGCCGGCCGGCACGAATATTTGTTTGTTTTGGTTTGTTATGTGAGATGGGTATTTTTTTTTTTTGGTTTGTTAAGTGTTATAGTGTGTGTAAAAGTGTTATCATATTAGTAAACAGTTTGAGTTCAAGACAAAAGACATGGAAAGACGTAAATTATTGGTGAATTTGGGCAAAACGGGACGACAATGCGATATTATGAATCGAGAATATCTATTACAACTTATCGATAACAACCGTAAAACTAGTTCTGGTACGTATTTTTTATAAAACAAGTTTAATGTTATTGTTATTTTGAAGTTTAATCATAATTAGTTTTTGTAATTATGAAAATAGGTTATCATTGATATTTTTTTTACGAAACGACGCATAAACGGTTATCTGCCATATAGCTTTTTCTACGTTGCGATTGTGATGTAGATGTCTCAATTTACTTTTGTAAATTATTATTGTTTGTTATGTTTATGAGTACCTACCTATGTTAATTCTTATTGTTAGCTATATATATTAATTGACTTATAATTAAATTATATTTTCTTACTGTTATTTTTTACTATTGTTTCATGTTCAGAAAGTCCAAAACGACCTTTTAAAGAAGATGAAAGCTTACAGAACATTAGCGATGGATTTTTCGACAAAAATGCTGTTGGCCGATGAAGTTATTGAACATCTTATAGAAGACTTTGATGTGTCAGCGATGAAGATAAATGAGTATCAGTTAACTTCGCAAGATAAGTCCCCATGTTCTGTGTACTCTAGGTCGGTCACACCAGTTCACTCTCAATCTGAAATACAAATTAATTCAGAAAATGTTTATGTTGATAATAGAGATTCTCCGAACAAATTATCGGATACACCAACGCCCTCAGAATACAACTCATTTACTTCAAGTCCGCCGCGTCCATTATCAGAATTAGATCAAAATATCTGTTTAATAAACTCAGGCAGGCCATCGAGTATGACACTAATTTCAAACTGTCAATCTTCTATAAGCAACACTAGTGATGCTTCTTCGGCGGTGGAGGCATCAAGTGAATGTTCTACACCTTCGTCGTTAAACGATAGAAAAAGACGTCAGTTCAGTATTGATAGATCAAAGAAAAGGCGATTGAGAAATAAAGACAAGTGGATGGACAATGGATGGAAGTGGACAAGTTGATACAAGATGTAAATTACTATTAAATTCAGGTAAACAACATCAGTCCAGAAATGGAAAATTGCAACCTGCGAAACATCTTAAGCCGGCATGTGTTATTTGCAAGTTTAACTGTAGCGCAAAAATATCTCACGAAGATAGAAAACTTATCTTTGATCGTTTTTGGGATCTCTGTGATCACGAAAAGCAATGGGTTTTTATAGGTAAATATACAAAACGTTGTATGAAACGAAGAATTACTACAGAGAATGATTCTAAACGCCAACACAGTGTAAACTATACACTTCCAATAAATTTAAAAGAAACCAGCCCTAGAACTGTAAAAGTATGCAAAACAATGTTTAAGAATACGCTGTCGGTAAGTAATCAGTTTATACAGAGTGCTCTTGATAAATATGATAAAAGTACTGGTAACTGTGAAAAAGACTTCAGAGGTCGTCATAACAATAAAAACAAGGTTTGTACAGCCGCCATAATAAAAGGTGTGTGTGATCATGTAAACTCGTTTCAACCAGTGGAGTCACATTACACAAGAAAAGACACAAACAAAGTTTACTTGGCTGATTTAAATTTCTGCACGATGTTTAAGTTGTACCAGACTTGGGCAGAGGAAAATAGTATTGTAGAGAGGGTACACACAGCGCGCCAGTACCGACACATAGTTAACATGGAAATTAACATAGCCTTTTATATTCCTAAAAAAGACCAGTGCGACGTGTGTATAGCATTTAAAAATTGCCTTCCTTCACAAACCAGAGCACAAGATCAGTAGAATAAACATGGACAAGATAAAAATATAGCGAGATCTTTGAAGAAACAAGACAAAAATGAAGCTACTTCTAATCCTGAAACTGTAACGTCGGCTACCTTTGATTTTCAAAAAAATTTGTCGACACCACACGGAGAAACTAGTTCATTTTATTATAAGCGTAAACTTTCTGTCTTTAATTTTACTGTTTTTGATATGGGACTTAAAAAAGGAATATGTTATATGTGGCCTGAAACTATAGCTAAGGGGGGTTCGAACGAAGTGGCTAGTTGCCTTTATAATTTTATACAACAGTCAACCAATAGAGGCATCAAAGATATCCGCCTGTGTTCCGATAACTGTGGAGGTCAGAACAGGAACCGTATTGTGTTTCTGATGTATGTATACTGCTCTCAAAAGTATAGCATTGATATTCATCACAGATTTTTGGAGAAGGGTCACACCCAGCAAGAAGGCGATAGTGTCCACGCATTAATTGAGAAATCGTCGAAGAGAAAATTAATTTTTTGTCCTGAAGAATGGTATACACTCGTTCGGTGGTGTAAAACGTCCGGCGATGCTTATGAGGTTATAGAAATAACACAAGACCAAATTTTGGATTTCAAAATATGTTTATATGATTTTAAATTGACAAAAAAATACCGACAATGAGAATGTTAAGTGGAATCAAGTTCGAGAAATAGTCGTTAAAGCAGAGAATCCTTACACAATATTTTCTAAATATGATCTGAATGACGAAGAACTCAAGCGAATTGAATTGGTGCGAAAAGTAACTACTCGTTCCCACCGTGGCTTTAATGATCCCAAAAAATGTTATAATGAACCCATCATGATTACAAGTGCCAAGTACAAAGACTTAATAAGCCTCTGCCAGCAAAATCTGATACCTCCTAGATATCATAACTTTTATAAAAATTTGAAACATAATTCCTGTGCTGACGGTAATGAGATTGAATAATTTTTAAATTGGTTTTAAAATAATTAAAAAAAATCTTTCGTAATTTTTTAAGTATTGATACAGAGTTTAATTATTGTTTAGAATTTAATTTTCTACTTACTTTTATCATCAGTGATATACCTAACTATTTTTATAAAAAAAAATGTACGAATAAAACGTACTTTAAAGGATTTATTTTTATTATTGTGTTAACTAGGTCATGGAAACGAACCTAACTTGATTATTATGACTGATGTTATTTTTTTATAAATTATGAAAACTTTAGAATTTTCTAGATTTAATTTTAATTGTTTTTTTTCTAACGAAGGCTAAATTATAATTTTACTGTTGAATTCTCAACCAAAAATCCGATAAGATAAGATGTAAAAATTAACTAATTTTAATAATAGGAATTGTTACAGTTTTCGTATTTACTGAAATATACTAATCTACGTGGGAATTCAAAGACTTAGTAAAGTATTTTACTAAATCTTTGAATTCCCACGTAGAAACGGCCAAGTGGTAGTTAACACAGTTGTCATATTTTTAAGCGCAATGTAGATGCAGACAACTACAATATCTCGTAAATTAAACATAATTAGAAGAAATGAAATATACATGTGGATACATTATTAAATAATGAAGCAATGATGAAAATTTCAATAAATTTGGTTTAAAATTGACAAAATGGGAGCATTTTTTCCTATTATGCGCCCTCCTGAAAAGTAGCTGTTTTATAGATGACCCTTTTTACTTTGCACCCGTTGATATAATAGTGCAACCAACACCGTCGAGCACCAATTACTATTAACAAATATTGAGATTGAGAATAGCGTACAATAATTTCACCTAATACAATGATTGTGTTTTCAAATAACACAATAATGAAGAAAAATACTAATAATTGTAATAACCAGTTACACAAACTCATTCTCCTCTGAGTACTGAAAGTAATTCTTTTTTATAAATACCCACCTTGTGAGCAAAAAATTCAATATTATTAAAAGTATTATTATAACAATTTCACAACATATATATAGGGGATCTTTTACCTACGTTGGTTCGACATTTATTAGTAAAAAATATATATTTAGTACGAACTCTGCGACACAATGGCCTATATGGTACTCTGTATTGTATTATCTCAACTAGTTCTATACTATCGTACCTGTTAGGACAAATATCATATAGTAACATAGCTTAAATCTGTTGACGTCTGGATTCTAATTTTAGTAAGTTATATTCGACCAGCAGTTGATAATAGGGTAATTTAACTCGTCTGCACTTGTAATATACACTACGCAAAAACTTTTTCTGAATGGATTCTATTTTATCTTATTTTTAGACCAAATAGCTACCGCATATTCGAGTTGTGATCTTATTAAAGATTTATAGAGGTGCAAATAAGTGAGAAGTTTTTTAATTTCACGTCCAACACGCATCACGAAACCATACATTTTAAGAGCCTTATTAATGACATTTTCAACATATGTATCAAAGATAAGTTTACTATCTAATGTTATTCCTAAATCTTTAATTTTATGAACTTTTTCTAATGGGAGTCCACATAAAGAATAATTATAATTACTTTCCTGTCGCTTACGGGTAAACGTTATGGCTTTACATTTATTAACACTCAAATCTAACTTATTGTGTTTACAGTAAAATTATCTAAATCTTTTTGAAAGTTAAGGTGGTCATTATAATATTGAATTTTGCGATACATTTTTATATCATCTGCGTACAGAATAAAATTACAAAATTGAAACAACTATTAACATCATTAATGTACAGGACAAAAAGAAGAGGCCCTAATATTGATCCTTGTGTCACACCAGAACTTATATGCACAATATCTGACTCAAAACCTCTTATAACTACTTTTTGTGTACGATTTGTCACATACGACTTAAACCATCTCCACAAATTACCACGGATACCATTAAAGGCTGGCTTTTCCAGAAGTAATTTATGGTTAACGTTTTTTTTGTGTAGGCAAGTCGGCCATAAATTATACTGTACCACTTTGTTATAGTATGTGATGAAGGCAGACCAATTTCAAAACTTTTGTTATTTCGCACATATTGTTAAGCTTTCGGTGAATAGTAATGTAAAGTGTAAAACATCTTTCTGGGGAATACTTAGCCCTAGGTAGATGTCACGTTTTATTTTTAAGCAGCTGTCTGCTTAAAGTTCACTTTGTTAAACTATTATATAGTGTAAAACATTTTTATTTTCATAATTATTAAATATTTTCCAGATAGTTCATTTAATAATTCTTGGAAATCAACAACTTTTTTTTAAATAGCGGTTTTGTGATTGAAGCCTTATAATAAAAGCAAAAACTTGGTTAACACCATCTAAGACGATAGACTAATAGCACTTTTCTTTTCACAAATCTGATTTTTAAAATAAGTTAACTAAACCTATTTCGATTTGTTAAATATTTTAAATTTTATCCTACATAATGTAAAATAAACCTGTAGCAAAATAATAAACTTATTTTCAATCATTTCTAAGTTTTTTCCGAAGAACATTTCTAAATATTTAAAAAGAACAATTTCAAATAGCACCTTGGTATTATTTATCTATGTATTGCTTATAATCAAATAAAAACTTATGCGGACTATGGTGATTTGTTTATCGATAAAAAATATCGATTAGCTGAGTCAGATGAAGCTGTAAGAGTCGCATAGACTAACAGCGTTAACATCCAGAAACTAGAACTATTGCGACTATTCCACGCCGTTATTCTGTGCAAGCGTAGTCCTTCACTGTGTAAGCCGACCCAAATCCGACCAAACTCGTGCTGCAGCAAATCTAATAATAGTGTCCTCCAGACCGAAATTTAGTCACGGCGGCCAGTCTTAACGCAGACTAGACATATAATATGCGCAGGACAAGATTGTTGTGCCCGAGTGCGAAATGCGAAAGCACAGGCGCACTCTTATATTCCGATGGCCGGCAAAAAGACACAACCGGAAAGAGATCAGGTGTAGGACCAGTGGCTTTAAGTGCTTTCCGAGGCATGGGAGTGAAACACCACCAATTTCGTAACTCCGGATTTCTCCTGAGAATTTCTTGACAAAAAATCAATTACAGATTCTTATTGACCCAATCCGGGATTCGAACCAGGGGTAACACGATCAGGTAGCCACGTTCATGAACAATAGACCAACGAGACCGTCAAAACTCTAACACTTATAATATTAATATAATCTAATAATATATTCCACTAATCTTTTCACACATGCTGGCTTTAAGTACCAAATTCAGGAACATGTTATAACTTCGTCT